AAGGGGCTAGAGTCCAACAATTTAAAAGTCTACACTACACTGACTCTCCTTGCTTTTCCTCATTACTTAAAGGCTACGGAGCAAGCTCTGATTGGGGGATACTGCTGTGCCAGTCCAAATAGAGTCACGTCACTGGAAGTTTTGTCAGTGCCAGAGTGAGGGCTGAAACGAATATCACCTGTGCTAAGGGAACCATTTTCAAGTTATATTCTTCTTATGTGTGCATATATGTATATATTCGTGAATGGGTTCATTGGAGATTTGTTATTGTTGCCGTAATATACCTTCAAGATGACCCGAGTTTATCATGACCCATACATTGTCGGGGTTTTTTTATGAGGAAGGGAGATATATGTTTAGAGCGCTGATTCCCAGTGTGGGGAGTAATTTGATTTTTAAGGGGGGCAATTTGAGAATGAGTTACAGGCAGTCCTCAAGTTGCAAACAAAATCGGTTCTGTAGGTTTGTTCTTAAGTTAAACTTGTATGTAAGTCGGAAAAAGTACATTTTAAAGTGTAAGCCTAATATATACAGATATAGATATATCTATCTGTCTATATCTATCTATCTATCTATCTATCTATCTATCTATCTATCTATCTATCTATCTATCTATGCATGCATTCTTTGGATGTCATAGGGAAGGGTTAACACCTCTGTGGTGTTTGTTTTGCTGTCAGTGCCCTTGTTCAGAAGATTTCCCTTCACTTTCTGTCCCTATGAGAATTGGATTTTGAAAAGTTTGGCTTGTTGTGGAAACAAGGGCTGGTGATAAGCTTAAGTGGAGACACCTTTTTCCCATGAAAACAACTTTTCCAGTAGTGAATTTCCCATCTGAGGGGTAGATTTGTCTCACCCCCGTTCTTTACTATGAGTAATTTGTAACTCAGATGTTTGTACCTCAGGGACTTCCTGTATTAACAACAAATGTTTTGCATTTCTTATGGTTCTAGGGGCCTCATAGACAGTATATATATATATATTATGATTTACATATTTTAAAAATTAAAATCGGAGTGTATACAGCAGTCAGGGGGTGACAATGGAGAGGGTGAAAGCTTCCTCATAAGAGAGGAGTGGGGAGAGCATAAAGTTAACTAGAGAGTTCATGAGCACAGAAAAGTGAGGCAACATTCATTCCAAACACCCCATTCTTCTCAGTGTTCTTTTAACATTATAAGCTATACAGAAATGCAAAACGTATTTTTGTTCTGCATATGATTATAGCCAAATAGCATATGATTATAGTCAAAGCCATGGTATTCCCTGTAGTAACCTACGGATGTGAGAGCTGGACCTTAGGGAAGGCTGAGCGAAGGAAGATCGATGCTTTTGAGCTGTGGTGTTGGAGGAAAGTTCTGAGAGTGCCTTGGACTGCGAGAAGATCCAACCAGTCCATCCTCCAGGAAATAAAGCCCGACTGCTCACTGGAGGGAAAGATACTAGAGACAAAGTTGAAGTACTTTGGCCACATCATGAGGAGACAGGAAAGCCTAGAGAAGACAATTATGCTGGGGAAAGTGGAAGGCAAAAGGAAGAGGGGCCGACCAAGGGCAAGATGGATGGATGGCATCCTTGAAGTGACTGGACTGACCTTGAGGGAGCTGGGGGTGGTAACGGCCGACAGGGAGCTCTGGCGTGGGCTGGTCCATGAGGTCACGAAGAGTCGGAGACGACTGAACGAATGAACAACAACATGATTATAGCAAGAAATGTGTGAAAAAATCCACACATAAGTAAGTCAATATTTTTGTATGATTTTTTTAAAAAAATTAACTATATAACAAAACTTGAAAAAAATTCTGTTCCTGGTGTGAAAGTGTTATTTCCGATTTAATTGTATGGTGCTTTTGCAAGTAGTTATTATTCTCGTATTTGTGGCTGCCACAAACTATGTTGAAGTGGTTGAGACTTGAGATGTTCATTCAAAAACTATAGCAAAATGTGCTTCAAGATGTCCCAGAAAAACAAAGTTTTTTGCAATTTAATAAACTTTTTCCATGTTTTAATGATAGAACCAATTAGGAAATGACATTTATATCCCAGGACTAAAAATCATGTTACATAATGTTATCAGTCACAAGAAAATTGACACCAGGTGACAGGATATTCTTCAATTGTTGTTGTTCATTCGTTCAGTCGTCTCCGACTCTTTGTGACCTCATGGACCAGCCCACGCCAGAGCTCCCTGTCGGCCGTCACCACCCCCAGCTTCTTCAAGGTCAGTCCAGTCACTTCAAGGATGCCATCCATCCATCTTGCCCTTGGTCGTCCCCTCTTCCTTTTGCCTTCCACTTTCCCCAGCATAATTGTCTTCTCTAGGCTTTCCTGTCTCCTCATGATGTGGCCAAAGTACTTCAACTTTGTCTCTAGTATCCTTCCCTCCATGAGCAGTCGGGCTTTATTTCCTGGAGGATGGACTGGTTGGATCTTCTCGCAGTCCAAGGCACTCTCAGCACTTTCCTCCAACACCACAGCTCAAAAGCATCGATCTTCCTTCGCTCAGCCTTCCCTAAGGTCCAGCTCTCACATCCGTAGGTTACTACAGGGAATACCATGGCTTTGACTAGTCGGATCTTTGTTGCCAGTCTGATGTCTCTACTCTTTACTATTTTATCGAGATTGGACATTGCTCTCCTCCCAAGAAGTAAGCGTCTTCTGATTTCCTGGCTACAGTCTGCATCTGCAGTAATCTTTGCACCTAGAAATACAAAGTCTGTCACGGCCTCCACAGTTTCTCCCTCTATTTTCCAGTTGTCAATCATTCTTGTTGCCATGATCTTGGTTTTTTTGACGTTTAGCTGCAACCCGGCTTTTGCGCTTTCTTCTTTCACCTTGATTAGAAGGCTCCTCAGCTCCTCCTCGCTTTCAGCCATCAGAGTGGTGTCATCTGCATATCTGAGGTTGTTAATGTTTCTTCCAGCAATTTTCACCCCAGCTTTGCAATTCTTCAATATCCTCACCAAATGCATTATGGTCTGTCCACATACATGCTTGCAATCCATATCCCCCCTACCCCCCAAATTAGTCGTATTAGTCCATTTTCCCTTGTGCGGGTTGCAGGCAAACTCCTCTTGAATTTTTAATGATGTTTTTGATTTCAATGGAGGATGGTTTGTGAACCCAACTTAGTTTTTGGAATCCAAATTTGAAGGCAAGTATTTCTGAATTTGGAAAAGGTAACCATCAAACAAATCCAGCATTTGCAAAGTTTGCTAAACAAGGCAGACCGGTTTTCCTTTTATATGAAGTGAAACAAGCATTTGGTTGCTAATAGATTCACTTAAATGTCTGAATCAGCCACTAGGTGGCAAACTACACACATTTTTCATAACCCCCTCATTCTTCTAGCAAACCCTAAATAGGATCATGGTCCACAGTTTAAGAAGCTTTGTTTTAGGCCCCTTCTACACTGCCATATAATCCAGATTATCAAAAAAGATAATCCACATTATCTGCTTTGAAGTGAATTATATGAGTACACTGCCGTATAATTCAATTCAAAGCTGATAATCTGGATTTTATTTGGCAGTGTAGAAGGGGCCTTAGGGTTGCATGGTTTTAGTTCCATTTCTCAATACTATTTGTAATTATAGTTTGAATAAAACTAAGGCATGAATAATAATTTTTTTATCAATGACAAACAGTACAATTTGAATTGTTGTGAAAATATTGATTTGCTCTTATAAATGTCCCCAGTGTCTATAAATATTGTGCATTCTCTCATGAAATATTTGTTTGCAGATCTGTAAACTGAATAGATGGAAACTAAGTATAGTATACCCATTCTGTTACTGTCACAAAGCAAAATTATAGGCTACTTTCTAGCAACTTTCCACAGTAGTTTTGAAACCAAAACCTCTATTCAGGTTTAAATCACATTAAAAACAAAAGGGGGAGCATAGATTTACAGCATCACAGGGTTTTTTTAAAACGACGGATCTGGATCAAACTTGGCTCACAGACCCAACATGGCCAACTGTGAATACTAGTGGGATATGGAGAGGATTGACCCATCATTTTAGGAGTGTAGTTCACCCACATCCTTATGCATTTTCTAATGAGAGCATTAATAAAAAAACAAAAGGAAAGACTGACAAATTTGGTCCAGATCTGTTGTCAGCTGGGTTCAGTGCTCTTTGGATGCGGGTGAACTATAACTCCCACATGCCATGGTCAGTTACCCCAAACCCCGCCTGTATTAACAGTTGGCCACATTGAGTCTATGTGTCCAGTTTAGTTCAGATTTGATTCAGTGAATGAAAATACATTCCACATATCAGATATTTACATTACGATTAATAGGAAAAGGTAGTCCCCTGACATTAAGTCCAGTCATGTCTGACTCTGGGGTGTGGTGCTCATCTCCATTTCTAAGCCGAAGAGCCAGCGTTGTCCATAGACACCTCCAAGGTCATGTGGCCGGCATGACTGCATGGAGCGCCATTACATAATCGTAATCGCCATTACTATTAATAACAGTAGCAAAATTACAGTTATGAAGTAGCAACAAAAATAATTTTATGGTTGGGCGTCACCACAACATGAGGCACTGTATTAAGGGGCCATGGTATTAGGAAGGTTGAGAACCACTGATCTAGATTATTTGTTTTGTAGATGAATTATTCAGTTTTGTGTTTTGTTATTCCTCCTTATCTCTCTGTTTTTATGTGTTTACACACAAGTTTTAGATTGTTTAACTTTGGCAGGACCAACTGTTTATTAGATATTTTACTGTGAAGCACCATATACATTTGATGGCATTGTATAAATAAACAGCAACCGCAGTATCGCAACAACTGTACATTATGGAGCAAATCTGAAGTGATTTTGGAGTTTAGGACACCAGATTTCTATAAAACCAGAATATGTTCTTTAAAAGGTTTTTACAGCCCTCAATTTTGCAGGCCTGTATTATAATTTGTACAAGTAAATTAAAATTCTGCTTTTATATGAGCAAATATGTTTTGACTTTTAACTGTTGCTTATTTTGCTTGTAGGTTAATGAATTCCAACACCAGGTGAAACAAATGAAGCAAAAGGCAGACTGAATTATTATTTTTCTCAGGAGGAGTTATGAAAGGGATAATTGTCTGAAGTAGTAGATACTGAAAAGTTTCACTCCGTATCATTGATTAATGCTCTTTCAAGTCATTAATCATAAAGAGATGAAATGTGGAAAAGAAGGGACCACTGAATCCTTTTTTGTTCGAAGTCAGAGTGAGTAAATATTTTCATATTCCTTTTATACTCTTGTGTTAAGATGTCACAAAGTTTATGTTCAATGCTTTAAGCATACAGTGTTTGTTCAGCATCCTTGTCCTCTATGCACCCTGTACACTGGCAATGGATCATGCATTCTGTGGGCCATGTACACTTCTAGGCAATATTTTAGGACATATCCAGACTATGGATATGTCCTAATAAAGTCAAAATAAAGTCCAAATAAAGTCAAAAATTCACTCAGAAGCAGTGATCTTCTATTAGAGTCAAGCATAGAAACCTGTGTGGAATGAGTTTTTATTTTTTAAAATTTGAAAATGTACTAACAGTCGTTTCTGGTTTATAAAAAAGCACTTTTGTTGGTGTTAAGTTTTGAAGGGGGGTTTGGCAATTGGCTCCCAGATCTTTTGACAGTGCCCACTCCTCAAGTTTAGATCAGAGATGTGGGGAAATTTCCATTCTATGTGACAATATACACAAGCACACATATTTATCCGTAGTTCCCTGGGCTGTTTTACTGCAATCGATCACATTAGATGGGCTAAATATGAAGTTCCGACTATTTTAAGGAGACAGCCATTGACAAAATCTAGTGCTCAGAATCATACACTGGGAAATGAATGCACTAGTAAGCTTGCAGACCATCAAATGCATTTCAAACTGCATTACTTGGCAGAGTGGAACTCAGCGTTCTTCAGTTATAATAAATACAAGCTGTCCAGATAAAATATGGTGTGCTATCTGTAGCCACTGACTCGCATCTATCCTTTAGTGAAGGCTGATGTTCAAATAGTACTGAATCGGGTTTTCTCAAACTGAAATGAATGTAAGAAACGAGTGAGTAAAATTGATAATTACGATGGTGATACCTTAGGAAAAGAAAGGCAAATTGCTGACATTTTATATGTAAGCGACATCTCTCTAAAATGATCTAAAAATATAGTGTTCTTTCCAGTTTCATCATTTAAAAAAATGCATATGAAAATTTACATTTTTTCTTGTTTTAATTGTTCCAGAAAGCTCATATCACTAGTTTAGGTAACATTATCTGTAGTAACCATCCCTGAAAATTAGAAACATTGAACCCATGGATTGTTGGTGCATTTCAAAAGAGGGGTCTTCTACACTGGTACAAATTCACATGAAATTTGTGTTTAGTACACTTATTTCATGTGAATTTGGTGCTCACACAGGGAGCCAAACCCCCTTCTTGGGGGGGGGGGGGGGGGGGAGGAGACACATTTGTGCTAAATCAGCATCGATGCAAGTGAGCATGATTTGTATTTTAAAGAAGACGGCCAAGCTTTGTTAGACAATTGGAGAATTATCTATGTATATAGGCTGAATTTTCCTTTTTCAAAATTCTTAGACCAGAATATATAACACATAATTATTTTTGATAATATGCTGTTCTGCAGGTGACATAGCTGATGTATATATTGCTTTGTTCTATTTTGCAAATTGTACTATTGAATAATATTTTATAGGGCACATCTGAAATTTGATCATTAAGACTAATGAAGAATTTGATACATGGTTGAAACATTTTTTCTATAAGACGGATTTCCCTCTTTAATTTACCTAAGAAAATCTGTACCTGGATATTTGTTCAATATTAGATGCTTTGTCTTTATTTTCTCTAGATTAGTTGTTAGGCTGTGTGTGTGTTTGTACAGAGTGTCATATAAAAGATAAATCATGATTGCATGTTTTAAAATACTTGTCTCCTCTCCACTCTAGGTTTTTTTTAAATCTGGGTTTGTGTTTGTAAAAATGCATTTCTTTTGTTCTTGACATAACTAGCATCATGCAAATAAAATAAAACACAAAGGAACATTTATGTTAAGAAGGAAAATGCCAAAGAAAAAGAAAAACCTAGGTGTGAGCCCATCGAAAAAAATCAAAAACACAGAGACAATTCCGGCTGAATTCATGTCCTCAGCATCTGATCAAGCAATGGTACAAACGCCACATGGGACCAAGAAAGAGGAGCTCATCAGCAATCTTTCAGAAGTATTTTCTGATCTGGATCCCACTGTCATTTACATGGTGCTGTCTGAATGTGATTTCCAAGGTAAACAAAATTTTATCAGTTGTGTCATCTTGTGTGCTTAATATGGGGATGTGATTTTTCAGAAAAATCCCTTACATTGATTCAGATCCAGTTCATTGTTTTTATTTTCCTTCTGTTTGATTAAAAAAAAAATTAGTTGGTCTGTCAATATTTTAATAGCCCTCCTTCTAGCAAAGGCTGTTTGTACTGAAAGATCAGATGTGGGTTCATTAATTCAATCCTCTGTTATTGAAACATAAGCCGTAATCTACTGTTACTAGAATTACTATAAATACTTTAAATTAGAATTATTAACATATGACAGCTCAACAATCGGCACTTCTCTTATGCCATTCAGATTTCAGTGACAAATGTTTAGGCTTTTGGAAACAAATGCCTTTATAATTTTGGGTGTTTTTATGCATGTTTAACCACAGAATATAAAAATGTGAAAGAGTTAATTACAGTGTTGATTCAGTGGAAAGCCCAGAGAGCCTGAAAGAAACTAGAATGATGAATCTCTGACAACCTTTTCTACCAGACAAGGCAAACTTTCATTTTCTATTAAGTGGTGGCACTACACATTCTAGATTCAGTTTTGTTTCATATGAAGCAAGTTTTGTTTTATTAACGTGAAGACCTATGTTAGTCTTCATTATTTTTTTTCACTGGAGAGATAGTTCTAGACTCCTTATCTTCGATGGTTTTCAGCAATGTCACACAGAATCACAGTTCTTCGTTTTTGAGTGATTTGGATTTCCAGTTGCATTTTGCAACCAACACTCCTAATTTTGTTGAAAGACTTTGCTCACTATCATAATTTACTTACTTGTTTCTCGTTTGTGGCAATATTTATTGCCTGTGCATTTTTCATTTATTTAACAGATGCTGTCAAGATTTGGGTTTAGATCATATGACAGCACTTCTTAAGTATCTTCTTCCTTTCCTCCTTCATTTGAGCAGTTAAATTTAGGTGTTATGACTAGAAAACATTACTATTTTAGAAAAGTAGAAAAATATATAGTTATTATATTTACTAGTAACTTATATTTTTATTTTATTTGGTTATACATTCTGAATCCAACATAGAGTTCCACCTTCATTCTCATTTTTTAATTTTTTTATCATTTGTTAGATGTAAGTAATTGGTAACATTGTCACAATTGCATTTGCAGAACAATATATTATTGTTATTTACCTCTTATAACACATTGTATTGATTACATTTTATCCTTTACAGTTCTATACATCTATTACTTACACCTATCCATTTTTCCCACTCCCTCTTCCTCCCTCCCTCCCTCCCTCCTCCCTCCCTCTGGGAGTTCCTTAGATTTTCCTTTCCCTTTCACTCTGGTTATAAAAGGGGTCCTCAAACTTTTTAAGCAGGGCGCCAGTTCACTGTCCCTCACACCATTGGAGGGCCGACCTATAAAAAAAAGATGATCAAATTCCTATGCATGTTGCACATATCTTATTTTGAAGTAAAAAACCAAAACAAAGTGAGAACAAATACAATATTTAAAATGAACCACTTTAACTCAATGTTATGGAATCCTGGAGCTGCAATTTGATCTTTTGGCAGAAAGGCAAAACAGCTTATAAAATTTTAAATCCCAGGATTCCATAGCATTACGCTGTGGCAGTCAAACTGGCATCTAACTGCATTAATTCTGCAGTGTAGATGCATTCTATTTTCAGAGTCAACAGAAAATACTAGAGAGGTTTGCGAGAAATACACTTAGACATGTGGGAATTGCAGTAGCTTCTGCAATCAAAGAGCATTCTGAGCTGTCCCAACAATGGAATTCAACCAAACTTGGCATGCAGTGTCAGAGGGAGACAAAAAGAATGAAAGGTGCTCTGCTTTAGCAGAGCCAAGACTGATTCCACTGAGAGGGTGCCCGCCTCTTTGGCGGGTCAGATAAATGCCCTCAGCGGGCCGCATGTGGCCCCCGGGCCATAGTTTGAGGACCCCTGAGTTATAAACTCTTCCCCCTTTAGCTCCAAGTTCTCCTTTGGATGACCATTCATATAATTTGTTCTCCTTTCAGTTAGGTAATCTTGGAGCATATACTCTGATAAATATTTGAGCCATTCAGTTCTTGTGGGTTTTTTCGGGCTATATGGCCATGTTCTAGAGGCATTTCTCCTGACGTTTCGCGGAGGATGCTTGCCATAGATGCAGGCGAAATGTTAGGAGAAATGCCTCTAGAACATGGCCATATAGCCCGAAAAAACCCACAAGAACTGAGTGATTCCGGCCATGAAAGCCTTCGACAATACATTTGAGCCATTTTTTAAAATTTCCCATTTCCCTTCATCTTTCCATTCTAAGGCAACTGTTGCTTGGGTAGCTGTTATCATATATTTTGCAATTTTGCTGACCTTTATTTCTCCCATTCAATTTATTGTGTAAATAATTGTTTTTGTTTACTTCAATTCTTCTCCCTATTAACTCCATCTTTTGATCTTTTTGTAGAATTTTTGTAGTTTTTCACAGTTCTACCATGTATGGATAAATCCTCCAATTTCCCCGCATTTATGCCAGCAATTTTTTTTTTTTGTAATGTGGGCCATTTGAATTGGTGTAGGCCAGGGATCCTCAAACTTTTTAAACAGAGGGCCAAGTCACAGTCCATCAAACTGTTGGAGAGCAGGATTATAATTTGAAAAAAGCATGAATGAATTCCTATGCACACTGCACATATCTTATTTGTAGTGCAAAAAACACTTAAAAACAATACATTAATTAAAATAAAGAACCATTTTAACAAATATAAACTTATTAATATTTCAATGGGAAGTGTGGGCCTGCTTTTGGCTGATGAGATAGGGCTGTTGTGGTTTTGTGCTTTCAAGTCATTTCAGACTTAGATTGACCCTGAGTGAGGGCTGTGTAAATGACCTTGGAGGGCCGTATCCGGCCCGTGGGCCTTAGTTTGGGGATCCTTGGTGTAGGCTGTGTAATTATGTGCTTATTGCAGGCACCGCCTTTTGATCACTTGGTATTAAAAAGTAATTTATACTAGTTCCTCAAATAAACAAACTAGCTTCTCATAGTTAGATCAAAGCACTGCTGTTTGGCCCTTATGTAGTTTTCAGTCTTCAACTTTTTTTTTAGTTGGAGAATGGACAAAAAGATACTGAATCAGAGGCTGGCAGGATATATAGAGAACAAGGTAATCTTTGAAAGAAAATAAGTTATGTCTAGCCCTATGGTGTTCCTAATGTTTTACCAGAGAAAAGTCTTTGTATAGCTTCCCACAACACTGATCTTTCTTTGTTTAATAGTGGAAGACACAATGGATTACCTTCTGGAATTGTCCACAGCTGCAAAGGATATAACATCCGAAGTCTCAGGTTTTGATTCCATATCTGCATCACTGGTTGGTGAAAATCAGCCTTGCTCTGAAACAGATGGCCAAAGTTCTGCTTCAATAAAAACTGTGAACTCTAGTAAAGAAACTGAGAAATCTTTATCATCTGAAGAACTTTTGTCCTTGCTACATAATTCTTTGGGGGAAGATAATGTAGATTGTGAAATGAAGGATTCAGAAAATGACCAGATCTTGGATAATCTTTCTCTGGCTTTGTACTATAATACTCCTGACTATGTTAAGGAGTCATCTCAGCATGTAAAATCCAGTTTAGGTTATAATGCTATGCTTTCTTCACAACAAATGGAAACAGACAGTGAAAAAATAGAAAGCACCTTTACACCATTAAATGCAGATTGCTATAAATCCTCTGACTTGATTTGTAGAAAATCAAGTGTTCAGACAAAGGCTAGCCCATTAGATGAGATCGATACTTTTGCATCGGTTCCAGAGAACTGTAGTTTGCCTGCAGTAGTACTTGACAGTGGTGTGGTACTTGAAGGTATTCCCCTAGCAGACAAGGAAGTGTCTGGTACTGACTCATCTCAAACACATAACATTTGTTCGGACTTTACAACTGAAAATGGAATACCAACTCAACTCCACCAGGAATTTGCTGAATCTGAGACAGTTGTGTTTGATAGTTTTACTTCACAAGATGCTACAAACCAGGCACATGCCATGGATGTGCACCAGAGTCCTAAAAATGCTGCTGTGCCTGATATCTGTGCAGGATCTGGTTTAAAATTCACATCTTTTATGAATGTTGACCCAACTCATCAGATGTGGAATTCAGAATTTTCATTGCTTCAGAAGCAAGCACAAGGGCCTATTTTTTATCCTACATTTTATCCTCAAACTACAAATCATAGCTTTGTAACGCCAGTTGCAATCAGCCCAGGGAAGTGGAGACCTTCTTCAGATTACAGAAGTCTTCGAAAAACATGTATCCCTCAAGCATTCTCTCAATCCTGGGACAATGGCTCCTCTGTGCCAAAGGTATTGGGAAATAAAGATGGAAGTCAAAAAATGAATTTATCTCAAGTCCATCCACTTGTTGGTTATCATGCGGTGAGAAGGAAGACTCCTTTTGCAGGTCATGTCCTTGTTCTTCTTAGAGGGGTTCCTGGATCTGGCAAATCATATTTGGCAAGGTGGGTTACTCATTTAGGCTGCATACTAAAGTATTATTTTCTCTTCCTCTCTCGCTCTTTCTCTCATTGTGGTTTTGCATTAAGTGTGCATACATGTAAGCCTGATTCCTTCCTAACATTAATGTTCAGGTCCTCTGCAAACCGGTTTCATCCTCTATGAAATGAGAGCCATTTATTTATTTATTTACAGTATTCCCACCCCACTCAAGGCGTGGGGCATGTACATATACATGGCAAACATTCAATGCCATAGACACACAACATATATAGACAGATACTCAGAGGCTATTAACTTTCCAGCTTCTGGCCACCAGGGGAGCTGTCGCTTCCTCATTCTTTGCATACTTGCATACTTCCTGGAGATTTTTTATGGCCTCGTAAATCAGCTAATTTAGCTTCTCCACAAAGTGGTACCTAATTTTCCTACTTGACAGATGCAACTGTCTTCGGGCTGCAAAGGTCGACAACAAGCTACACAGTTTTGGTCGGGAGCTCACTCCGACCCGGGCTGGCTTCGAACTCATTACCTTTCGGTCAGTAATGATCTTAATGCAGCTGACTCCCAACCACCTGCACCACAGTCCTGGTGCCATTTGGTGCCATACCTCATGTAAAACAACACCATGAGGCAAAGGATTGCTCCGGGTGAAGGAATGGAGAACAACATTGTGATAGATCCCTTGGAACAGGCTGGCTCCCATACTCTAACCTCTAGGAATTATGCCACACACTCTGTCCTTGTTCCCCCAGTTATTTCCTTGCTGTATTGGTTAGTTCGTCTCCAAATAACCTCTTGAATGTGGATTTGTGGTTGTGTTGTTGTGTGTGTGTGTATATATATTTTTTGTATGCATGACTCCAATTCAGGTTTGATAGCACTACGTATCACTATTTTTGTTCCAGGGTTATAAATGTCATTTTCTAATCGGTTCTATGATAAAAACATGATAAATGTTTATTAAACTGAAAAAACCTTTTTTTTTGCGGGATATCCTACAGTGCATTTTGCTATAATTTTTTAATGAATATCTCACAGAGTCTCAACTAATTCAACATAGTTTGTGGCAGCCACAAAAATGAAGTTTATGGAGTGTAACAACTACTTTTAAAGTAAACACCATACAATTAAACAAGAAATGACACTTTAAAGCTAGGAACAGATTTTAAAAAATTTACACAGTGTAGTGAACCAAATGCAGGTTTAAGACAACAGCACTATAGATCTATTAAACACAGTAGGAAAAAAACCTAATCCATTATTTAAGATGCCCCACACTAAGGGATAATTCTCCCTTCTTTCTCAAGTCCAAACATTTTTTGCTATAGCTCCAATCCCTGTTTCTGTCAGCTCAAAGCCCTTTGATGTGTTCCGTTCTCTGCTGAATGAACACACTCTTCACAGCAACCCTCCACCATGCTTGTCTACCTTCATGTCAAGTCTGCCTAGTGCTTCCTTCCCAAGCATACATTCTTAAGTCTTACCTACTTACTTACTTAGGCAATCCCTCGTAGTCCGAGGATGATAGTCCTCCAAGGTCGGTGTTCTGTCGGTGGGTCCGTAGGTGACTGTGGAGCCCAATTCTTGATCTCCATCTTCTCCTGCAGTGAGGGCATTGGTTCCCAGGGGGAAGGCGGTCCTGGTCAGGGTTGGCTTGATGCACCTTCCTCTTGGCACATTTCTCTCTTTCGTCCTCCATGCCTCTTCAAACTCCACTGCACTGCTGGTCACAGCTGACCTCCAGCTGGAGCATTCAGGGGCCAGGGCTTCCCAGTTCTCAGTGTCTATGCCAGAGTTTTTAAGGTTGGCTTTTAGCCCATCTTTAAATCTCTTTTCCTGTCCTCCAACATTCCGTTTTCCATTCGGAGTAGAGCAACTGGTTTGGGAGACAGTGGTCGGGCATCCGAACAACAGGGCCGGTCCAGCGGAGTTGATGTCGGAGGACCATCGCTTCAATGCTGATGGTCTTTGCTTCTTCCAGCATGCTGACATTTGTCCGCTTGTCTTCCCAAGAGATTTGCAGGATTTTCCGGAGGCAGCGCTGATGGAATCGTTCCAGGAGTTGCATGTGACGTCTGTAGATTGTCCACGTCTCGCAAGCGTATAGCAGGGTTGGGAGGACAATAGCTTTATAAACAGTCTAGCTTCTGATTTGTGAGACATGATTGTAGGGAGCCAGACTTCTGATTTGTGTGTTCAACAGAAGAAGGCAGCTATCTCAGGTTGGACACCCTGATACCTGCTTGCACTTTTTTTTTGTATGACTGCTATTGGAAGGGCAGGAATTGTTAGATTAAGACTACTCGTGTATCACTGATGCTGCCATTGTAAAAAAAAATCAGTTTATCAGAAGTAAGTGTGTTGTGTGTGCATGATTCTTTTTAGTTTGGGTGAAAAAACTTTTTTTGAGTTTAGGAGAAAGACTGTGATATCCGATTTGATTTGTTTCATAATTTTTCACAGAGCTCTGCTTGAAGATAATCCTGGTGGAATCATTCTTAGTACAGATGATTATTTTTACCAAAAAAATGGGGAGTACCAGTTTGATGCTAACTGTTTAGGAGAAGCACATGAATGGAATCGAAAACGAGGTAAGTGTTGATATAATGGATATCGTAGAGGAACAACATACTGCTTAAATATATTTTAGAGAGGTAACTGTCTTAGTCTATTGAATTTCCAGAAGGATGGCTATGTTGTTCTGTTAAAGCAAAACTAGCAAAGAATCCTGTGACATCTTAAAAGACAAAACAAATTGTAAGTGAAATAAACCTTCATGGATATATGTCATCAGATATGGTGGACTGGAGTCCACAAAAGTGGAGGCCAAACAAAACTTGTTAGTTGTTCAGGTTCAATAATATATTTTGTTGTTTAAGCATGTTGATATCCATGTATAATAAACTTCCTTAGAATTCTTTTGCCAAGATCACATACTCTGGTCAATAAAAAATTCAGAAGACACTCCGTTATCTCCAATAACACAGATTCATGAGTGGGGACTAGGAAAAGAGTACATTATACATAATGATTCAAAATAGCAGTATGCATTCTCATACATCAAATAATGTTTTTAAAGGTCAGTATTGAAAATCATTACGTAGGTGAATGAGAAAATCCATAAATACAAATGATATGAATTACGTTGAGGGTATAGCGGTACTCTCATTTCTATTTATGCATTTTCATTAGCTTCTGCAATTTGCTTTTTACTATTATCAGTGTTCATATATTTTATATTTGATGGATATACTGATTCCAAACATCCCATACACTGTGACCAAAAAGATTTTTTTAATCATGTCAGAAGCAATTTGAGAACATACTGCGTCACTTCATTTGTGAGAGAATTGGCTGTCTACAGAGGTGTTGCCCAGGGGAGGCCCGGATGTGTTGCCATCCTGCTGGGAGGCTTCTCTCATTTCTCTGCAAGCTAGAGCTGACAGGCGGGAGCTGACCTCGTCTCACGGATTCGAACCAAAAAAATTGAGTGATTATGAAGAAATATTTTTTAAAATAAATAAATAAAAAGGTATAGTGTGGATGAAGATAAGGTGTAGTGTAAATGAAGCTATGTTTGATTCCCAACTACTTGCTTTTTTATGATGGTGATGTCACATAGGCAAGGTGTAGATTTATTAGGGGATCCACAAAAATAGGTTTTTTTAAAAAAAATTCAAGAGAAAGAGGGAAACGTTTTTAATAGAGGGCTTCATAATTTAATATATTAGAATCCATGTAGAGAATTTCTAAACAATAACTATCAGGCCAGAAGGAAGAATAGAAAAACAATGTAAAGGGAAGGAAGAATGGAATTATATTTGAATGTTTCCAACCCAAGAGACGGGAAGTTACCCAAAGGAGAGGGATGGGAGGAAGGAAACTATTAACTAAGGATTTTGCAAGGAATAAGAAGCTGCCCTCTTTTAGATAAAGCTGTTTTGCTGTCATTTACAGACTAGTTCTGTATAGGATACAATATATTTATATTTTCAGAGTAAAAGTATCTGATCAGGAGTCCATTTAGCTTAGCATCCTCATTTGCAAAATACTCTTTTATTAATTCTGAAAAATGTAGAAGCAGGACAGAAAGACAACAGCTTCTTACACTGATATTTATAGGCCAACAAATTGTTGCATACAACATTGACAAAGCAGGTTAAGAGTTTTAGGAACAGAGGAATGACTAGTTAGATGGCTCATTATTATTAGCTATGAGTAGCTTTGTCTTCCATGAATTTGTCTAAATTTCATGTAAAATCTAAACCCCCACCACATCATAATAGTAATTTGCATAAATTTCTGTGCTAACATTAATTGGGTAGAATAAGAATATAGAAATGACATTACATTCCGGGTTATCTTTCTGTAATTGCTTTTAAAATAACATTTAATGTTGCTTCTATTGTAAAAAAAAAATACATTGTTTTAATTTACTGATATATTTTTCAGCCAAAGAAGCTTTTGAAAAACGGATCACACCCATAATAATAGACAACACAAACACTCAGGCTTGGGAGATGAAGCCTTATGTTGTTTTGGTTAGTATTCAATAATTTAGGGTTGTTGAACTAAAGCATTTTAAGTTTTCTATGTGTATCACTAGGTGGCATGGTACTTTAAGCATATGATCTAAAGGACCATAGCGCCAGATGAGATAGGATGTGGGTGAATGGACCCTATGATGTCCACATGACACATGGGGCCCATTCACCTTTAGGCCCTCCAAGGCCACTTAACATAACTTTATCCCATGTTTTAAAAAGTTGGCTACACTTTGTGGTAATGTAAACAGTTGGGTGAGTTCTGGTTCAGAATCAGCTGTGGTTGCTTTCTCCTGGCTCGGGCAGTCTGGAGATAGGGGCTGGCACTCACTGCCCGCCTAGTGTTTTCAGTAGTTGTCACCCATCTCACCAGAAAGATCTGACGCAGAAGTGGGGAAAGGAATAGACAATTCCATATTTTCCTCCTCCCTTCTCCTGTGTTGTTCTATCACTTTGGCCAGAGTCATTAAATGCAATGAGTGATCACCACCAGCAATTTTTTCACCCAATGGTTGCTGCTAAGCCATAGACATAAGGGGACATTAAAATGGTGGTGCAGCAGCACTAAGTGAGTTTGGTGCTACTCGGCCAGCTTGTGCCATACAGTGTGGACTCCCCCAGTGCTGATTCAGAGTACTCCACCCCAGATCAGCTTCGAGATACGTGGCCTATGAAAATGGGCCCAATGCCTGTCAAGATTATGTTTTTGTGAGACCAGAAAGGGACTAACAATTGCACATTGGTTGGAGGGAGCATGAGCTCAAAGCCCATTAAATGAATCCTTTGACATCTAACACTCAGAGAAGGAATCATCCAAATCTTATGTTCACCTGTTTGGAAACAAGAGCCACTGAATCAGTAGGGCTTACTTCCAGATAACTATTTTAAGCTTTGGTTTTGGAAGCAGTCAGTGAGACAAGACATATGTTAGGAACAACCATAACCTGTGAATAGACATATTTGTATAATACGTTTATGATGAGGGTATTTGTATAATATAGTTATGGGAAAACAACAGTGTTAGGAGCAGAGGCATGACTAAGTAGATGGTTTCACTTTTAAATTGTATTCTTAACCTGATGTTTGGGGAATATGGGAATTCAGTGACATGTGTGTTTCTATACTTTTCTTAGTCACAGCAACACAACTATAAAGTTATATTTCGTGAACCGGATACTTGGTGGAAGTTTAAACCAAAAGAACTGGAAAGGTAAATGATAGTAATACTGATCCCTTATGTTAAATTACAACTTATGTTAGGAGAAAGACTGAAGTAGTCTCAGTTTAGAAAGGGGCAGCTTTTATTGAAACCAGATATGTTAAGTCAGATGATGGGGTTTTTAAATCATACTCTCAGTTGTTCTTGCTTACCTCTCATGGGATTTTATGAGATTGCTTAGAGCAGGGGTCCTCAAACTTTTTAAACTGAGGGCGAGGTCACAGTCCCTCAAACTGTTGGAGGACCAGATTATAATTTGAAAAACAAAAATGAATGAATTCCTATGCACACTGCACATATCTTATTTGTAGTGCAAATAACACTTAAAAACAATACAATAATTGAAATGAAGAACAATTTTAGCAAATATAAACTTAATAGTATTTCAATGGGAAGTGTGGGCCTCCCTTTTGGCTGATGAGATAGGATTGTTGTTGTTGTTGCTGTGTGCTTTCAAGTCATTTCAGACTTAGGTTGATCCTGAGCGAGGGCCGGATAAATGACCTTGGAGGGCCACATCCGGCCCTCGGGCCTTAGTTTGAGGACCCCTGGCTTACAGTAATCAATTAGTGAAGTGCATCTTTAGTTTCAGTAGACAGACAGCATCATTTTGAGATTGTTCTTGCATTAGACACTTTCAGACTTTTGAAACTTGAGGTTCAGACCAGTTTCTTTACCTTCAGCAAATTGTCTTTCTTAGTTAAGAAAGTCAAATGCTGTGACTGATCCAGATATAAACATGTGGATCAACTCAGGAGCAATGTCATTCCTGATACTACAGGGTGAGGCAGCATAACTTCCTTTTTTCAAAACTTAATAAAACCCATTATATGAATCAGAATTTTTTTATAATGTAGGCGCATATCTAACGTTTTTTTTAAAGTAGTTTTGAAGATCAAATTATGTAGGTGACTTCCCCCATTCTCCATACACTGAGTAAACCGATTTCCGGCGTTTGTCATGACTCTTGCCAGCAAGCAGGCGTTATATTGGCAATTTCTTCCTGGATGTTGGTCTACAAATCTTGTAGGGTCCTTGGATGGTTCACATAAACACGGGATTTCAAAAAACCCCATAGAAAAAAATCACAAGGGGCCAAATCTGGAGAGCGGGCCGGCCACTCCAAATCCGCTCGAAAAGTAGGCCTCAATGGCAAAAGCACGCTCCTCACTGTTCCAACGCATGATGGCGACAAAACTTTATACTCCTGCCTCTCTATCGAGACCACTAGTGCTCCACTACATCTTCAACCGACTGAATGGTGCGCATTTTAAAAAAGGAAGTTATGCTGCCTCACCCTGTACTAGTCTTTCTTATTCCTTTTATAATTTTGATGCTATTTTCTCCCTGCAGTCCATTGCTAATAAGAGCTAAACTTGATATAGCTTGAAAATATCAGTGAGAAACAACTCTGTGCACCTTTGGTTTCCTTGTTAAAATGTCCTGACTTGTAACCCTGGGCTTCTCAACATTTGAGAATGTGTCATTAAACTGTCATATAGAAATTGATAACAAATGTGTTTAAGTCTTCTTTGATCAGTTTAGAATTCAGCTGAGGGCCCTTCCGCACAGCCGTATAACCCAGAATATTAAGGCAGAAAATCCCACAATATCTGCTTTTAAATAGGTTATCTGAGTCCACGCTGCCATATATTCCAGTTCAAAGCAGAAAATGTGAGATTTTATTCAGCTGTGTAGAAGCATGAATTAATAAGTATTTTATCAGAAGTTATGAGAAACCAATGAGTTTATGTAATTTGAAGTTTTGCAAATTTCTTCATTTGCTTACTTGAGCATAGGGAAAATATTCCATACTTGCTTTTGAACTGTGATGTCAGAGGAAGCGACTTAAGCTAACTAATTTCTTCACATATTTCAAATATGTTAAGCATATGCTTATTATGGTATCACAATCTCAAGTATTCTATTTCTTTTTAATGTTTAGGCGAAATATTCATGGTGTGTCTAAAGAAAAAATCAAAAAAATGTTGGAACGCTATGAACGTTGCCTGACGGTTAATTCAATTTTGAATTCTTCAATCCCAGATGAATTGAAAAGTGCAACCTGTGATGAAATTCTTCATCAGAAAAAGGAACTAGGGTAAAATGGATATGTTTCATGGGCCTTTGGGGTAACAGTGGATGACAGGAAGTTCTATCTAAGACTTCTTGGCATATATAGTCTCCCTAGATGGCAGTTTGTGAAAACATTGATGTTTAGAAAAGTGTAAAATAGCAGAGTGCCTAGTCATGACACTTAAGAACACACAAATGATCCACAGGATAAGCTTTAAAATCTTTCCTGTGCCCAAACATTTTTGTTGTTGTCTAATACAAGTTATCAGGACTACTTTCAGAGATTTTTATTTTACAATCATTGGTCCATTTGTTGCTCACCAGTATTTTCTAATTTGTCTTTTTTTCATTTGGAGAAATATCCTGTTGAACATATGTTGTACATTTTAGGTTTTTCAATCTATGTGTACACATTTCAATAGGAACATCTAGACCAGTGGTTCTCAATGTGTGGGTCCCCAGATGTTTTGGCCTTCAACTCCCAGAAATCCTAACAGCTGGTAAACTGGGGACCCACACGTTGAGAACCACTGATCTAGACTGATTGAAAAATCCCAGATCATTTTGCTGCTTTCTGCTTAAAATAAAAACCAACCTGGGCAGCTGGTATAAAATGTTTATGTTCATATGAGGAGCTGTCATAAAATATTCTGAGATAAATAAAATGTCTACAGATGTCCAAAATAAAACAGCAGGAACAAAATCTAGGACTTTCTGGTCTTTTTAATCAGTCTGGATTAAAGACGAGATTTAGCAGAGATGCACATGGTAGAGATAATTACAAAAACAAAAAAGACAACTTGCTTTTGTTCTTTCACTTACAGGAAAGAAATTGTGCATTCTTATGGGGGAAATGCAGAACTTTTTATTTCACCTTTAAAATGTCCAGATGACAAACATTTCTCAGAGAAAGCTGCAGTAGAAAATCAGAAACTTAAGAAGGAAAAACATGACACTACATATAATTTACAAGAATGCGGAGTCCATCAGGATGACTTGGGTATTTACACCTCATCCAGGAAAGACAAAATTGATTCTTCTTCTGAAATGGAAGTAATTAGAAGTGACATCACAATATTAAGGGGAAAGGCACTCTTGGATTCTTGCGTCAATGAAAACATTCAGGAATGCAATAACAGTGAATTAAAAGTTCAAGTAGAAGCAAGTCAGTCCACTGGAATAGTAATAGAAACAAAATCAACAGAGCAGCAACTTACGGACTTGAGAGAGTCAACTTTAGACAAATCAGAGGTGTTCAATTTTGTGGGAGACTGGCCAGTAGAACAAACTATGGGGCAGAGGGTGAAAAGAGCCAAGAAACTTGCAAAGGATCACAAAGAAGATAAAGATGCAAGCATGACCAGTTTGGGCTCATTAAAGAGTCAAAAAGATGGTGAAAAAATGGGCCTGATTGATATTCTGAAGGAAATGGGGCTTTCTGAAAATAAGGACGATGACAATCACCAGGCCTCTGCCTCTATGTCTGGAACTGATTCAGAAAAAGATACAACAGGATGGCAAATAGAAGGAGACTGGCCTGTTCAAAATTCTCTAGGACAAAGGCAAAACAGACAGAAAAGAATATCTCAAAAAATTCTTAATGAATCAGAAGGGATTACAAGTAGTCAGTGTGATACCAACATAAATATTCCAAACACAGGAGTTAGCCTTTCAGGAACATCTGCAAGCATTGACGAAAAGAAGGAAGGTTTTCAGGCATCTGATAACTCAGTTTCTGACACCGTTTATAAGAAGAAGCCAGTGCAGAATAAAAGAATACGGAAGCACCATAAATTAGCCCTAACATTTACCAATAATTTGACCCTTAGCAAACCAGAGGAACAGTTGGCTTTGCAAAATGAGCTGGAGCAGAAACCTGACGAATGCATCATGATAGTGACCAGCAAGCATTCACAAACAGAACCTCGTGATTTTGCTCTTCTTTGGAGGCTTGAAAGGAAAATAGTAGTTTCACAGGATACCAAAGTTTTACACGGCAGGCTAGATGGGTTCATACCAAAAAGTATTGATGCTACCTCAGATTGTCCAGAAAAAATACCTTATAAAGTAACTTATGAGAAAAGCACATATGTGGAAGAAAGTGAATTTGTCAGTGTCGATGAATCTGAAAATCTAAATATTTTGTGTAAACTCTTTGGCTCCCTTTCGTTTGATGCACTAAAAGATTTGTATGAACGATGTAACAGGGACATTGATTGGACTACAGGAATCCTCTTAGATTCCGATGCAAAGTTAGGCAAAGATGATGAGATTGAATGCTTGCAGAAGAGAGGTACTCAGTCTCTTAAGTCTGAAGAAAATGTTAATTGTGAAGGGGCCGTTGCAAACTCTGAAGAGATCAAGCAAGAAACAGTGGATGTGACTTCTAGATTTACTCCAGATTCTGAAATAACGAGTAACTTAGTTGATAATGGACAACATATAATGAAAGAAATCTCCAAGGAAAATAATGAAATACCCAACTTGTTAGCAAATGTGGTGATTGCTCCCTCAGAAGGAGACAATAATTCCAACCCAACTCTTCCAGAAGCTCTTCCAGAAGAAGCAGAGGAGGAGGAGGCACCTCTCTTAGATCATACGAAAACACACACAAAAGAGATGTACTCTGTTTCAGCGTTAGTAAATGAGCAGCAGAACATCACTGTACACAATGAAAAGAATGTGTGTGTCTCTGCGATGGTATCTGACAATCTGAATGGAAGCTTCAGCACTTTGAAACCTGCTTTTGATATGGTATCAGATAATACATCTTCAAAATATCAGGAGTACTCAGCTCTAAAAGATACACGTGTTCAGGAGATGTCAGATGTAAGACAAACAGAAAAATTGGGAAATATTGGAGGCAGGTTTGAAGAGCACAAAGAAATAAAACCTAAACCATTGTTTTCAAAGGAAGCAGAAAGGAAACAGAACAATATGCCTAATCAAGAAGCTGACACAACCAAGATACAGAACTCCACACCTGCGTCAAACCCTGTGAACATAAATTGTTTGGAGCTGACCTTACCTCCAGAATTAGCCATTCAATTAAGTGAAATATTTGGACCGGTTGGTGTTGATTTAGGTATGGTACCATAAAATATTACTGTTTTGTTCATGCCCATATTTATTACAAAGTAGGAATTTGGATGTGATGACACAATTGATGCATTGTAACAGAAAGCCAAATGTCTGAGGGCTTTCAGAGTAGGAAGCAAGTACTCTTATCTCAGCCATGGAAGGAGAATGGTGGGAGTAGCTTGTATAGTGGCCTTCTTGCATGCTGCTGAGAGTGATGGAGATGAATGCAGCAATTGTTTTGAATCTTTGCTGGAGCCAAACTGGGGGGGGGGGGGGGGGGGGAGCTTTGCTACAGAGCAGGTGATTTCTTTTTCCAATCCTTCCTCCCACTATAATTTCTCCAGCAAAGTAAATAGTGATATGTCCAGCTCCATCCCCTGAGAGCATGTGGGAACTGTAGCTCATTCTCTCTTCTTCCTTCTTCTGTCACAATGATGGAGGGGGGCAACCTGTAGCAGTCCTAATTGGCTGACAGCCAGGATGCTTTATTGTCCTTAAACCAGCCTGGCACCATTCATCTCATGTCGATATTTCCGTATCTTCAAGTGCATTCCAATCTTCTCCACCCCATATGCATGAATGACTGCCATTCACTTATGCCAGTGTTTCTCAACCTGGGGGTCAGGACTCCTGGAGGGGTTGCGAGGGGGTGTCAGAGGGGTTGGCAAAAACCATCAGAAAACACAGTATTTTCTGTTGGTCTTGGTGTTCTGTATGGGAAGTTTAGCCCTATTCTATCGTTAATTGGGTTTGGAATGCGCTTTGATTGTAGGTGAACTATAAATACCAGTAACTACAACTTCCAAATGTCAAGGTCTATTTTCCCTAAAAAAAAAATACACCAATATTCACATTTGGGCATATTGAGTATTCATGCCAAGTTTGGTCCAGATCCATCACTGTTTGAGTCCACAGTGCTCTCTGGATGTAGGTGAACTACAACTCCAAAACTCAAGGTCAATGCCCACCAATGCCCTTCTAGTATTTTCTGTTGGTCATGGGAGTTCTGTGTGCTAAGATTGGTTCAATTCCATCGTTGGTAGAGTTTAGAATGCTCTTTGACTCTAGGTTAACTATAAATCCCAACAACTAAAAAATCACACACACACACACACACACACCCCAACCTCATCAGTATTTAGATTTGGGCATATGGGCATATGGCATTTGTGTCAAATTTGGTGCAGTGGATGAAAATACATCTTGCATATCTGATATTTACATTATGATTTATAACAGCAGTAAAATGACCATTATGAAGTAGCAACAAAAACAATGTTATGGTTGGGGGTCCCCACAACATGAGGGACTGTATTAAGGGGTCACGGCATTAGGAAGGTTGAGAACGACTGATTTATGTAGAGGTGGGGAACAAATTAAGAAGAGAGAGCTTTAAACCTGCTTCGGTCAAGCCTGGTGTCTAAAGTGAGAGTCAGAGTTTTGTTGTTGTTGTGTACCTTCTCCTCATTTCCAACATGATGACAATAAGGTTCAAAGCGGATAATCTGGATTTTATATGGCAGTGTAGAAGGGGCCTAAGACAAACCTATTATATGATTTTCTTGGATTTTCTTGTTTTCAGTGGATTTGTCTGCCTTCCTTTCAGCCTGAGAGAGAAGTCGTAAAGGTTTATCCTCAAATATGTCTGAGGCCTTTCTACACTGCCATCGAGATTATCGGCTTTGAACTGGATTAAATGTCAGTGTAGACTCGTAATCCAGTTCAAAGCAGATAGTTTAGAAGGGGTGTGAGATTACAGAGATTTTATTTTGACTCTGTAGAACTTTAGCCTCTCACCTTCATTGTATCAGTTTGCATTTTGTAGTGAGGGAAATTGATTTCTGTGTCATTCAGCAATTAAGAAAAATATTTATTTGATCTTACATAGAGTCAATTTACTTTTTTGTGACATGTTTTTTCTATGACGCTATTTGAGCTGGTGTTCAAAGTTCTATATGCTTATCTATTTTAGACATGCATTCTGTATTATTTGAAGGAGTTATGTTTATGTCAGAACTTATTTCATAAGTATAGCTGTCCTAACATATTAACAAAATTCTTGGGCAGTGTATTTTAAGTAGGAAAGTACAATTACTGTATAAAATGATAAATTGATGTACAGTAGGTCTTGAAAGAAAAAAGGCTAAAACTAAAGATCTATATCTTTAAAATGGTACTGTATTAAATGCCTTCTAACATACCTGATTAGATACGTGAATGTCTAGATTCATTTTCATTTATTTCATTCCTTATCTCCATGTCTCTTATTGTTTAATTAAGGATCACTAACTGCTGATGATTATGTGGTTCATATTGATCTCAATTTGGCCAGAGAAATTCATGAGAAATGGAAAACATCTATTATGGTTAGTCATATTATTTCTAATTGTCAGGACTGTGTTATTTCTCTTATTCAGTTACCATTATTAATTATAAAAAAACTGAAGAGAAAGGTTTGCTAATGAATGGTATTGGATCACCTTAAAGTACATGAAACTTAGACAGATTCATGTTAATGTTTTTAAAATAAGGAGACAAGGAAAAAATATATTCATTTATTTTTCACTTATTTCCCAGTTTGGGACTTAAGGAGACGTACAGTGGTTAAAACACCATAAGATTTGTGGTTAAAACACCATGAAACACCAGCCAAAACATATTAAAATAATAGCAGTAACATATAAAAATGCAGCATAAACAAGGCTGCCAAGAGATTGCATTAATTTGAATTACCATTTGGGAAAGTGGACATTCTCTCTTCCCTTAGTCCCAAAGTTGATAGAAGCACACATGGAGACCGCTACACCACAGTCAATAAATTGGGACATTCTACTGGCTTAGGAGAGATACTGTCCCTCGACTTCAAGTCTTTAGCCTTCTGCCATCTCCTATCCTGCTTCCAAGTTCCTGGCCCGATGGACAGAGAGGTAACAGCAATTGTATTCAGGGCACCCATTTGCACTGAAATGTGCTCTGAAACAAATACTGAACTGCTGTCTAAGATATAGCAAGTATTGGCTATATATGTGTGTCATTAGTTACCTGAAATGACCACAATTCATGACAGGATAGTATGAATGATAATACATCATCTCCTTCTTATATCTCAGGACAGGGAACTTCAGGCCCTTCATGTATTGCTGGATTGCAACTCCCATTATCCCCTGTATCATCAGTAGTGAGAAACCATGGCTGTTGTAGTCCAATGAACTCTCCAGGGCTTGCCCTTTCCCACCTCTGATAACATGTATTGGGAGCTAGCATTTTGTCAGCAAGAAATACTGTTGCTTCAAAATGTAAAAAATTCAGTTGCTTGCATGATATCTGAACCTGTTCTGAATGAGGAAATCCACCTAAATAAATTGGTTTAGGTTTTGAAATGTATTAAGGCATACTTGTACTTGTATATGTTAATTATTATTAAATGTTTTACTTTAGAAGCGTCAGAAGAGAGAGGAGGACTTAAACAAGCTCCTTGAAGAAAGTAAGTATGTGCTGTTATCTTTGACCAAGTGTGTATTTCCTTGTATTAAATTAGGATGATGCATTAGATATGCTTCTAAGAAACCAAGTTCGGATTCTTGGTTGTCTATAAATAGAAGAGGCAGAATCAACAATTTAATCTTTGTTCCTTGTCTCTGTAAAGATTACAAATATATAAATTCATATAAAATCACATCTGTATCTATTTTTTCTTCATGGAGTTCGGGCTATCCTTTGCAAAGTAATTCTGTTTTATCCTCAAACCATCCTAGAAAATACATTTGGCCTCTTGAGTGTGGCGTGTATCTGTTTCCCCTTGTACCTTATAACGCACAGGCACCACCTAAAATACAAACGCGGGGTTCACCAAAAATTTTAAGCCTTCAAAAGGAAGAGGGAGTATGGTTTGCTGAAACAGCTGTATATTTAAACTTCTCTTTATTTCAATTGTTGAAATATATCCCACTGATTATACCAGTATCAGGGGAGATTAGAGCAGAGATGGGGGATAGACACTTAGCCTTTTAAAAAGTAGGAACTGGGAAACACTAGAACTGAGAGACTCAAAATGCTTCTCCAAAAGAATTCCGCTGCCACCATTTCCAGTATTAATCAGGCTGAGGTAATATTGTGAGTTTGTTCTGTAACATACACTGTGCCACTATAGTTTCTTAGTGGCTGCTGTGAAGCTGACTTTAGAAATATTTTGAGCACAAAGGTACACACACTGAGGCTGGTATAAGTTAATAAAAGAACAAGAATGTTTATTGAATAGGTTTGAAATAGTTCAGGTACAAATGCTTAATGGTTTCAGAAAATACTGGCATGAAAATCTTGTGGTTGCGTTAGAGTAAAATCTTAAACTCTTCTGGGTTACAAGTCTTCAAAGTTCCACCACAGAAAATTACTTCAGGAAATTAATCTCTGAAAGTAACTTCCAATACTGCCTCTTAGGAATCTAGCCAAAAATACCCTGAACTAGACTTCCCTAGGAATTGAACAGTTCACTAACTGGATACTGCTCCACCACAGTATTCTAGCTATCTACTAAATAGCTACTCTGAATACCTCACAAAAGACTAACCCAATCTTCTCCAAACCCCAAACTCGCTCTGACTAACACCAACTCTTCCAACTGCTCTCTAACAACTCCCACCGACAACTGAACTAACAGGGACTTCCAGCCTCTGTTTTAAAAAGGATACTTTTTTCCTCTAAACCACTTAGGCTCCGCCCCCATCTTTCTAGCCAATTCTAGCCTCCTTATTTTCCCTCTAAGACTTGAACATGCCTCCTCAAGGAAAACCTAACTAAAATGGCTTCCACTTGGCTCCCTTTTCTAAAATGAATGCTGTGGCTTCGCCAGGCCCACTCCCTTAGGCTTCAGCCAGCCAGCCAGCTAAGGTAAGGGATTCATTACATACCTCCTCTTTTTTGCATGGATAAAAAAGACACACTTTGCATGTAGGAAGAAGAAAGGAGTCAGGATCCAGAGTGATGCACATGATAATGGCGCGAATGGGTCCTACTCCTCTTCTTGCCCCTGAGATCACAATGAGTACTGTCCAGGAGCAGAAAAAACAACTTTTCTAACCCCTCCCCCCAACTTAGCTGAAAAAATGACTTGGGATATCATGAGTGGACCATGATGGAATTTTGGGATATCATGAGTGGACCATGACTGGAATGCACTTAAATTTTCATTAGCTTTTAAAAAACTATATATTTAAAACATTGTTTTTCTCTTTCAACCTTTTTCCCCCTGAAGATCCTATGCTATTTGAGCAGTTGCACCTTGATGAGCTGAACAGTGCCCTTTGTCAATACGAAAATAGTCAAGCACAAAAGTCTGGGAAAGCTGTAGATGAAATATCTGGAAAGACAGTGGCTTCGGACATTTTTCCTTTCATGGACCACTGGAATGTCCAGACACAGAAAGTATCTCTTCGGGAGATTATGTCTGAAGAAATTGCCTTGCAAGAAAAACAGGAACTGGTATGAACATTGCCTATTATAATTGTGTCTTACCTGTATTTCTGCCTGTGAGCTGCAGTAGGCAATAGCAGGGCATAAGATCCATCAAGTGGCTCAACACGTAATCCGTGCCATGATCGCCCTTTTGTGCCACATTTCCAGACATCCTACTTCACTGCCATCATTACTGGCTGGGCAAAACGACAGCGTAACTTGGATTGGCCAGGCAGTTGGAGCTTTCAAACATTCCCAAAATTTATTTATTTATTTATCGTGTCATCAGCAACCATACCATTGTATTACATTTCTAACAGAACAAAACAAACAAACAGATTAAAAAAAACACAGATTTTGCAAACTTGGTAGTTGATTAAATGTCCAGCTATTCTGAATTATATGGTTGTGTGGAAGGGCCTTTAGTCCAACATATTCACCAGATTGATCCATGATCACAACATATAAACAGTAGTCTAAATACTATTCCTCCATGGTATCATCAGAGGCACCTCTGAACCTTTCAGTACCATAGAGCCTTAAAAAATACATGTTACAGCTTACACACAAATTCAGTTTAAGAACAAACCTACAGAACATATCTTGTTCATAATCTGGGAACTGCCTGTTTCTGGAAAAAAAAAACCCTGATCTCATGAATTATGGATAAGGGAGACTCAACCTGTATTTTACTGGTGGAATTATTTTTCTATGAAAGGTATGTAATCATATCTATACATTTTTAATCCTGTAGAAATGTTCTCCTTTCATGGCTAGAAAAGACTGTGCTGCCAGACTGAAAGAGAAGCAACTCCTGGAGCTATTCCCAACGATAAATCCAAACTTCTTAATGGACATGTTCAAGGACAACAAGTGAGCATCTGATAATACAGTGAATATTAATAGAAAAGGAGTTTGTCAAAAAAGCTGCTTAGTTTTAAATTTTAACATAATATATACTTTAAAGTGCTAAATAGTTTGGGTTCTTGAAGATTGCTTTTTTTGTCATCATCAAAAATCCTTTACAGCCCCCCTGCTATCTGAAATAAGACTAATAGTGAATAACAGTTGACTCTCTAAAATTTGGCGCCTGGCTCCTAGGCTTGTTTGATCCAAAAAAAAAAAAAAATGGCTCTAACCTCGTTTCGGATGTAGGGGGCGCTGGTGGTTCGATTCTAAAGTCAATTCCTATTTTCACAGAAAAAAAGTTCTAAACTTTTCGAATCTTCCGAGACTTCCGAATCTTTAATAGTTTGAAAGTGTTATTTCCTGTTTCATTGCATGGTCTCTACTTTTAAAGTAGTTGTTGTACTCCAGGAGCGGGTTATAACTCGCTTCTGTGACTTTGAAACTGGCTGCCTTTGGGGGGGGGGGGGCAGGGTGGATCCTTACTTCTCTCTTGTGGCTCGCTTCTGTGACTTTGGGGCTGGCTGCGTTTGGGGAGGCGGAGCAAATCCGTGCTTCTCCCTCATAATTTGCTTGAAGCGTGGATTTGCTTCGCTTCTTCCTCAGGCCATTGGGGGCAGCCAGTTTTGAAGTCACAGAGACGAGTTGTGGGGGAAGGGGGGGGCGTGGGTTTGCTCCGCTTCTTCCTCAGGCCGTTGGAGACGGCCAGTTTTGGAGTCACAGAAGCGAGCTATAAGGGAGAAGCATGGATTTGCTCTGTTTCTTCCACAAGCCATTAAAGCCAGCCAGTTTTAAAGTCACAGAAGCGAGTGATAAGGGAGAAGCATGGATTTGCTCTGCTTCTTCCTCAAGCCATTAAAGCCAACCAGTTTTAAAGTCACAGAAGCGAGTTATAAGGGGGAAGCTGAATCATTGAATCATTTCTGACTCACTTCATGAGTCATTAAAAAATGGCGAAAAAGCTTCGAAATGGCAAAGGACTTCCGGGTTTTCTTAAAAACTTCAAAATCACTTCAAAAAGGAAACCTTTCTGACTTTATTCCGAATAATGAAAGTTCCGACTGGACCTAACCATGTCTGCTGGCTCCCCATTTAATTCCAAAATAATAATAAATGCAACATAATGATAGTGCAGGATACCATGCATTGGTATGCTGTCGCCTTTAGGTTTGTTAAGCCTTTGTTACTTGTATTATCGTTATTTTATGCAACAAGGAGATCAATTGAGAATTTGAACATAAAAAATTAGAAAGGATGTTTCTCTTGTTTTTTTTGGTTTTTTTTGTTTGTTTTTTTTTTTGTATTTTGTCCTGCTTCAGAAGGATCTGACAATTTTATTCCATCACCCCTTTCCTTTTCAATTTGTCTTAGTTATTCTTTGAAACAAACGGTTCAGTTTCTAAATACTGTCCTGGAAGCCGATCCGGTAAAAACTGTTGTTGCCAAAGAAACTGCTCAGAGTGCCATTCTACCGACTGCTTTGAAGAAAAAGGTAAGGTTCATTTTGCACAGCCATTAATATATGTATTTTTAAAAGAGAGGTCTGTAAAGGCTAAATAATTATCCATTTCAGAGAATTATTTTATTATTATTTACAGTTCTTATATTCCACCCTTCTCACTCTGAAGGGGACTCAGAGTGGATCACAGAACACATACGGCAAACATTCAATGCCGGTTATACAATGCCAAGTCAGGCAACAGATAGAGGTATATACAGTAGAGCCTTGCTTATCAAACCTTCACTTATCCAACATTCTGTCTTATCTGATGCTCTTATCCGATGCCCCCCTTTTCCTCCAGCATTTCCCCCTCAATTAAAAGAGTGCTCCCCGACTCTCTCTCCATTCCCAATAAGTGAAAAAGGCAAGACGAGGAGGAGGAGGAAGGAAAAAAGGGGGAAAAGAGGCAAAACCAGAAGCTGAAGCATCCTCCCTCCTGTGATTTCCACACTCCTCTTCCGTATCCAGGCACTTCCTGCTGGGCCACTCTAGCCCTAGGGCGCTGCCTTGCCTTGCCTCCCTACATGAACCAACTCGGTTCAATTTCATAAGCTCGCCTGGTAAGTACAAGGGAGAGAGCTTTTTCCTCTGTGGCCCCCTGACTCTGGAACTCACTACCTGGAAAAATTAGGAAAGCCCCTACCCTAGAAACCTTTAAAAAGAACCTCAAAACCTGGCTCTTCCACTGCACTTTTGATGAATAGGTTTACATTCTCACACTATTGTTTAGCCTCAACGTTTTGTCATTGGAGTATATGCCCCCCCCCCTTTGTGGGAAAGCCTGATTCCACAACCTCCACTATCATGAGTCCTCCTCCGCAAATAATCTGTCTCTTTCTTATCTCGCCTGTGTTTTGATTAGTTTTAATTAGTCTCTCTTAGCCATTACATGTAGCCTGCCCATTGTCATTGTGATTGTGCCTATTGTAATTTTATATTGCTATGTTTTCACGTGTTTTATGTAATTATGTTGTTGTTGTTTATTGTTTGTGTTTTCGGTTTTATTTTATTGTAATTTGCTGTTTGGGCTTGGCCTCATGTAAACCACTCCGAGTCCCCATTGGAAAGATAGTGGCGGGGTATAAATAAAGTATTATTATTATTATTATTATTTGAGTCCCTGTTATTAGTATTGTAGGTGTCTAGAGCCATGTTGGACGGGTAACAGTAGGAGACTCCGTAGTATCTGACATTTTTGTTTATCCAATGTTCTGCCTGCCCGTTTATGTCAGATAAAAGAGGGTCCTCAAACTAAGGCCCGGGGGCTGGATACAGCCCTCGCTCAAACTCAACCTAAGTCTGAAACTACTTGAAAGCACACAACAACAATCTCATCTCATCAGCCAAAAGCAGGCCCACACTTTCCACTGAAATACTAATATGTTTATATTTGTTAAAATTGTTCTTCATTTAATTATTCTATTGTTTTTAAGTGTTTTTTTAACACTACAAATAAGATATGTGCAGTGTGCATAGGAATTCATTCATGTTCGTTTTTTTTCAAGTTATAATCCGGCCCTCCAACAGTTTGAGGAACAGTGACCTGGCTCTCGGTTTAAAACGTTTGGGGACCCCTGCTCTACTGTATAGGCTTTTCCCATCTTTCGGCATCTTTGGAGGCTGTACTCAGTTCTGGCCACAGGGGGTGCTGTCACTCCATCTCCTTGCCAAAGAACTTTCTTTGTTCGTAAACTTCCTTTTTTCTAATCGAAACACTGTGCCTAAAATATCTCTTTAATGTGGTTGCTATTTATCTACTCACATTTGGTTTTGAATTGCTAGGTTGGCAGAAGTTGGGCTAAAGGTCAGGCACTCACCCTGACCTGAGCTTCGAACTGTCAACCTCCGGTTGGCAAGATTTATTGCAGCTTGGTGATTAACCTGCTGTACTAAAGTCCGGAAATGATTGTCTTCATCAGATTCTGAACCAAGCAAATAGAACATGATTGTGCAGGTTTCTCTGCAGCTCGTGGAGTGTCCAACAAGTTTTGGACTATGTCTTTATTACAAAATTTATGAATCGTAGGTCAAAAAGACCAAGGAGCTAGAAGACATTCTCAGTGAGAACATGTTTCAAGACTTTGACTATCCTGGCTATGATGACTTCAGGGCTGAGGCATTTCTTCACCAGCAGCGCAGGCAAGAGAGTCTGACAAAAGCTGGGGAAGCATATCGCATGGGAATGAAGCCTGTGGCAGCATTTTATGTGCAACAGGTAATTTAATTCAACCAACAACTGTGCTAACTTTGCATAACTTAATATTGTTTTTGACAGTTGTAACCCTAGATCTGAGCATCCACCCTAATAATTCACTTTAAAATGTTTAGTGCAAGTTGTACATTAGCTTAAGTAGGACCTGCCAGAGGTAATTTCTAAAAAGGAAAAAGCATTCAAAAATAGTAAAGAAGCATTATTGCTTCTTTACTATTGGCAGCATCATTGGTTTGGCAAATCAGAAGCTGCTAGTGCCAACAGTAGAGTGATTGAGGCCTCTTCTACACTGTCATATAAAATCCAGATTATCTGCTTTGAACTGGATTATGTGGCACTGTAGATTCATATAATCCAGTTAAAATAAGATAATATGGATTATCTGCTTTGATAATTTTTGATAAGGCGATTTACATGAAGATACGATTCTATTTGGTAACAAATGTTTTTATATTGTTTAATTAATGGCTTATGTATTTTATATATTTTAATGGTTTGATGGTTTGTTTAATGGTTATTGTATTAAGGGTTCATGTAATGGCATCGAATTGCTGCCTATTTAAGCCATCCTGAGCTCCCCTTTTGGGGTAGTGAAGAGACGGGATATAAATACTGGAAATAAATAATAATTTGGATTATATGGCAATGTAGAAGGCGCCTGAGTTTAAGCAATTCAGGAGCAGAGTCAAGCTTTTATAACTTCAAACTTTGAAGTTATAAAAGACTTAATTGAAATAATTATATTTCTATATAGGAGAGTAAGGCCCTAGTTATCTAACTATCTGGAGATATCTTGTTTCTCTTCACACTCACAGGAGAAGAACAATAGGTAGAACAAAATGGAGGTCTGGCCAACAATTTGTCAGTAACACTCAAATTTCTAAACTCTTTCTAAAGCCAGCCCCCATGTAGAGTTTGTGGAGTAATCCACACAATATAACACAAGGTGTGCTTCACTATGACTAGAGTAGCCATGCTCAGCAACAGGTGGAGCTGGTATGCTCATTTTAACTGGGAAAATGCACTCCTGGTGCTGCTGAAACATGGACACTCATTACTAGGGCTATGTCTGACCCCCCCCCCCCCCCCCGGTGGCGCAATGGGTTAAACCCTTGTGTCGGCAGGACTGCTGACTGAAAGCTCAGCGGTTCAAATCCGGGGAGCAGGGTGAGCTCCCATCTGTCAGCTCCAGCTTCCCATGCAGAAACATGAGAGAAGCCTCCCACAGGATGGTAAAACATCTCCTGGGCAAAGTCCTTGCAGACGGCCAATTTTCTCATACCAGAAACAACTTGCAGTTTCTCAAGTCGCTCCTGACACGAAAACAAGGGACTGAGTCCAGGAGCATATTGAGGCTGCAATACTGAGTTTTCCAGAAGAGCCCCAGCCATCATAAATTGAATTCCCATGTTGACACACAACTAGTCTTGAAGCCAAATAAAAAGGGATCTAGTTAATCCTTCTCCCCCAGGAATGGCTGGAACTAGGAAGTTATTACAAACTCAAGTGATTTGCCTAGCAGTTGTCCAGTTCAGAGTTGGACTTGTTTGTAGCAACCTCTGCCTCTTTTATGTGTTGGAATAAAGGGTCGCCTTCACGAGCAGAAGATGAAAGAAGCAAATCATGCTGCCGCTTCGCAAATCTTTGAGAAGGTGAATGCCTCCAAACTGCCTGAAAATCTTTTAGATCTTCATGGTCTTCATGTGGATGAAGCTTTGGATCATCTGAGTAGAGTACTACAGGAAAAAGAAGAAGGTAATTGACAACTTTGTCACTTTGAAATCTCCTTGTGGAGAAAAAAAGCGGTTGTAAATATACTTACCACAACAATAACAACTTTTCTCTCTCTCCCCCTCCCCCTTTAATTTAAAAGGAAAAAAAAACCCATCCCAAAACTTCATAATAAAGTACAAACTCCAAAACAAAATCCCTATAGTCTTCCACCCACAGTCCATTCCCACTATCACCTCAATCACCATCACCTCCATTTAAAATATCATAAATTTTCTTTCTAAAAAGTTGCTATTCTGTTAGATGTTCTTGTCTGATTTCCTTCTGCCAGCAGGCCAAGGCCTTCCTATTGAAACAAGCCTTCGGTTTTTTTAATCTGATGTAGGTTTTAATTGCTTTAAGATGGAGTTTTATTTAAGAGGCTTGTTTTTCATGCTTTTTTTGACTGCTGTATTCCAGAATGTTTTAAGCTGTTTAAAAAATCAGCTAAATTAACTGTCAGAATTTCAGACACAACTGAGGACCTATCTCTTCCAGCAGGCCTATCTAGTCAATTTTACAATAATAATAATAATAATAATAATAATAATAATAATAATAATAATAATCTTTATTTATACCCCGCCACCATCTCTCCAAAGGGGCCTCGGGGCAGCTTACATGAGGCTACGTCCATCAATACAGAAAACACAATATAACACAAAAACCCAACAGAAAATCAGAAAATAAAATAACATAAAATACAAAACCAATGTAAATATGCAGCACAACAATATAAAATCAAAACATTAAACCACTAAAAATGATCACAGTGGGCAGGGCCATTTCAAAGATTAAAATTTTAAAACAGTGGGAGATAGGGCAGTGTAAAATATCAGGAGTGGGATCCGGAGGATAAGGTAGGAGTTCATTGCACTTATGAATTTTAACCTGCAGGGTGAATTTTAATTTTTTTTTACTTGTGTATATTTGTTATATGTATTAAATAGTGTTTTTTAAACCATGTTGTACTCTCCCTGAACCCACAAAGAGGCAGGTATTTATTTATCGTGTCAGAAGTGAATTGATGGTACAGTTACAATGTATAGAAAAGAACACAAACAAAGTTAGAAACTTGGCATTATACTAAATTTTCTTTGACCAGAAGCTGGCCACTTAGAGTGCCTCTGCTGTCGCAGTAAGAAGGACCTCCATTCTGCATGTGGCAGGGCTCAGACTGCATTGTAGTAGGTGGTCTGTGGTTTGCTCTTCTAGCATATTGTGGACTCCACTTTGTAGCCCCATTTCTTAAGGTTAGCTCTGCATCTTGTGCTGCCAGAGCACAGACTGTTCAGTGCCTTTCAAGTCACCCAGTCGTCTGTGTGCCCAGGGAGGAGTTTCTCATTCGGTATCAGCCATGGATTGAGGTTGCGGGTTTTAACCTGCCACTTTTGAACTCTCGCTTGCTGACGTGTTTCTGCAAGTCTCTCTGTCAATCTGAGGAAGCTGTTTCTTGATTTAAGTCGTTGATATGCTGATTGATATCTTAACAGAGGATGGGCCAGAGATATCAATGCCTTGGTCCGTTCATTATTGGCTTCTACTTCCCGGTGGATGTCAGGTGGTACAATACCGGCTAAATAGTATAATTTCTTCAGTGGTGTAGGGCATAGACATCCTGTGATAAAGCAGCATGTCTCATTAAGAGGCACATCCACTGTTTTAACGTGGTGAGATGTTTTTCACTTGGGCGTGCATATTCAGCAGCAGAGTAGCCAAGCGCAAGCGCAGATGTCTTCACTATATCTATTTGTGATCCCCAGGTTATGCCAGTCAGCTTTCATATGATACTATTTTTAGTACCCACTTCTTGCTTGATTGTCAGGCATTTTTTCTTGTAAGTCAGAGCACGGTCCAGGGTAATTCCCAAGTATTTTGGTGTGCTGCAATGCTCCAGTGGGATTCCTTCCTAGGTAATCCTCAGAGCTCAAGATGCTTGTCTATTCTTAAGATGAAAAGCACATGTCTGCATTTTAGATGAATTAGGAATCAGCTGGTTTCCCCTGTAATAGGCAGTAAGAGCACCTAAAGCTTCGGAGAGCTTCTGTTCAACCATTTCAAAGCTCCCTGTCTGAGCAGTGATGGCACGATCGTCAGCATAGATGAAACTCTCTGTCCCTTCTGGCAGTGGCTGATCATTTGTGTAAAGAGGCAGGTAATAAACAACAACAATAACAACAACAACTATAATATGGTATAGCAGCTTTAGGTGTCATTTGGGAGAAAATTGGAATATTCATTAAATAATTCAAGATTGGAGTATATGAACTAAAACAAATTATTAAATTGCTTTATCAAGTCAATGAGAAAAAAAAAGTTATGATACTATTGCATGTTAGAGTGGGACATAACGGAATAGTAGACCATGTGCTTTGTAAAGAACACATCTCAGTATACTTTGCTGTTTTGCTGGTACTTCGCATAATCATAAATGACAGAATTTGGACAGATTTTAGCAAGCTGCTCTTAGTCAGAAGCGACAAGGCTAGACTAAATGGACCAGTAACCTGCCTCAGCATAAAGTAGCTTTATTTGTCTAAAGCAGAAAAAAAATTACAAAATCCGCATGTTGAGTGTTCTCAGAAATGTATAAAAATTGGCTTTATAAAGAGAGAATTTTCTGACTGTTATAATTCCTGTATAACAGAGTGCAGCCTGGCTGGTGGTAAACCATATCTCTACGTGATCACAGGAAGGGGAAACCATAGCCAGGGAGGAGTTGCTCGCATCAAACCAGCCGTTATGAAATACCTCACAAGCCACAAGTTCAGGTAAGTTGACATACTGTGACTAAAGATTTGAAAGCTACATGCACATTTAACTCATTAAAAGTTGACAATGGTTTTCAAGGAACACTTTTTATAATGCTTCTTTCATATATGTATTGCTTGGTCTGCCGTCTGCCGCCTCTATTTTCTCTACATCTTCTATAAGAGAGCGAGAGCCAAGTTTATTAGAAATGCCACAATGCTATTGCTTTATTAGGAATGCTGCTAGTCCAGTGGTGGCGATAGTCCCTTCATATTCCTAGGGAAAAGTGGACATGGAAATAATGTAGAAACAAATGACAGTCATAATCGTAATAATAATAGCAGCTGTTGTTGTTATTATTATTATTATTATTATTTGAAAACATGTCGCAGTAACCAGCATTTTGAACAACTTATCTGGAAGTAGCAAGTTCACAGTTAAAACTAGGGAAAGAATGAAAGAAATCATAAATGGTAATTTAGTAAATTGGAAATGTGGAGGAATTTGAGCATTTTTAAGCTGTCTATACTAGTTCAAACACCCTGCATCACATTCTAAAACATTTATTTTATTTCACCTTGGTAAACATCTCACTTAATGTCTGAAGAAATAGGTGCTTTATCTGAATGTCAGGGACAATTTCATAAGTGTCCAAGGACTTGGGCTTGGACATTTTTTTTCAAAAAAAATCTGTGAATTACTGTATATACTCAACTAGTTTTTCAGTCCCCTTTTTAGGCTGAAAAGTTTCCCTTCGGCTTATACTCGAGTCACGGTTATTTATTATTTTACTTTGTTATTAGTATCATTTTATTACATGAATTATTTTAATATATTAATTATTATTATATTTACATTACTTTACTCTATTATTAATTACATTTATTATTTTACTCTATTTATTATTAGTATTATTTATTTACTCTATATTATTATTACATTTATTATTTTACTTTATTTTTATTATTACTGCATTTATAATTTTACTCTGTTATCACTGTTACTACATTTCCATTGGTTTACTCGATTACTATTATTATTATTATTATTATTGTTATTATTATTATTATTATCCTGACACAAAAACACAGTATGACACAGCAAACGAGGTATATATGCTGGATTTCATTATTATTATTATTATTATTTTACTATTTTTATTATTATTGGAAGGATACATAAGCACATTTACACTGAAGATTAGAATAATGATTTAATCAGAGCTGGACAGTCTTATCTTAAATTACAATTTTATGTAAATATTCAAAAACATTTAACCTACTGATGCCTCAATTAATGTAATTTTATTGATATCTATTTTTATTTTGAAATTTACCCATGCCTGCTGCATTTCCCACCCTCAGTTTATACTTGAGTCAATACATTTTCCCAGTTTTTTGTGGTAAAAGTAGGTGCCTCTTTTGGGTCAGCTTATACTTGAGTATATACGGTATTTATTTTTTGTGTCAGAAGCGAATTGAGAATACAGTTATAATGCATAGAAAAGACAAAAATCAAGTTAGAAACTTGGCATTATACTTAATTTCCTTTGACCAGAAGCTGGCCACTTAGAGTGCCTCTGGTGTCGCAGTAAAAAGGGCCTCCATTGTGCATGTGGCAGGGCTCAGACTGCATTGTAGTAGGTGGTCTGTTGTTTGCTCTTCTCCACACTTGCATTTCATGGCCTCCACTTTGTAGCCCCATTTCTTAAGGTTAGCTCTGCATCTCGTGCTACCAGAGCACAGTCTGTTCAGTGCCTTCCAAGTCGCCCAGTCTTTGGGTGCCCAGGAGGGAGTTACTCATCTGGTATCAGCCACTGATTGAGGTTCTCGGTTTTAACCTGCCACTTTTGGACTCTCGCTTGCTGAGGTGTTTCTGCAAGTGTCTCTGTAGATCTGAGGAAGCTGTTTCTTGATTTAAGTCATTGGTACGCTGGCTGGTATATGAACAGAGGATGGGCTGGAGATGTCAATGCCTTGGTCCTTTCATTACTGGCTGCTACTTCCCGACGGATGTCAGGTGGTGCAATACCCACTAAACAGTATAATTTCTCCAGTGGTGTAGGGCGTAGACATCCTGTGCTAATGCAGCATGTCTCATTAAGAGCCACATCCACTGTTTGAACGAGGTGAGATGTACTCTACATTGGGCATGCACATATACTAAAATTGGAATGATACAGAGAAGATTAGCATGGCCCCTGCGCAAGGATGACACGCAAATTCGTGAAGCGTTCCATATTTTTAAGAAGTGCAATGATCAGTAATGACTATAGGAATGGAACAACGGAAAATGATACTGGATTGTGGTTTGTACGATGAGATGACGCGGAATGGTTTTCATAATAATGACGATGTTTTTTGTGTAATGCTGGATTGTGAATTATTTTATACTGTGTCTTGAATTGTGTTTTTCCTATGTTGTACACCGCTGTGAGTCGCCCCTGGGCTAAGAACAGCGGTATATAAGCAAAGTAAATAAATAATAAATAAATAAATAAATAAATTCAGCAGGTGAGTCACAAAGCGCAAGGGCAGATGTCTTCACTGTGTCCGGTTGTGATCCCCAGGCTGTGCCAGTCAGCTTTCGTATGAATAATCTGTGAATAATATCTCCCTTATCCTTATGCTTTTATCAGAATTTGCTTTTGAAAATTATCACATTTTGCTATCAGATATGAGACCTGCTGTCTCTTAAAATGTATGAATGCATACTAGCCTCGTGCAAACAAGACAAACTGAATTATTATTTTAATTCTGTTGTGTGTAGTTTTTATTTTATAAGGTTTCTCTTTTCCTTGATGAATATTGTCTTTTTTGTCAAATATTGTAAAAGCTAGTTTGAGTTCATGATTTTTCTACCAAATGCAGAGAGGGTTTCTTTAAACTCACAAAATTGCTATTTTATACCTTGTGAGAAAAGTAAAACTAAATCCAAAACTAATCATCCATGAAACGTTCTGTGGAAGCATAAGAAGCACTCTTGAATTTAATGTTGTGCAAACAGTTTATAAGTTAGGTTCTTGTGGGTTTTTTCGGGCTATAGAGCCATGTTCTAGAGGCATTCCTCCTGACATTTCGCCTGCATCTATGGCAAGCATCCTCAGAGGTGTGAGGTCTGTTGGAAGTAGGAAAAATGGGTTTATATATCTGTGGAATGGCTGGGGTGGGGCAAGGAGCTCTTCCCTGCTGCAGTTAGGTGTGAATGTTTAGCTGATCACCTTATAAGTTGATCAGTTTATAAGTTACTGTTTGAATTCAGTCCTACATGATTCTTCAGTGATATTATCTTTGATTTCCAGGTTCACAGAAATAAAACCAGGCTGCTTGAAAGTCATGCTGAAGTAAATGGATATCACCAAGATGACAGCAATAGCTGGAATAACGTCGCAATTTATTGGTGTTGCTGTGTATTTTGAAAAACAATATTTTTCTGGAAATCTATTAACTTATTTTTAGCAGATGTTTTTTGGTCATATCACTTCTCCTTTCCGTACGAAAACTGAATGGGGTGGTGGTTTTTAAGATATTTATTTTTGCAGGCCATTGCTCTCAAGAAATGCGTTGTGAAGTGCATTCTGCTTTTTGTACAAGAAGTGACCTTTCAAAGGGAAATAACAGTTCCATCTTGTAACAGTAGCTGTGAATGTCTGGAGCACTATCCTTTTTGACGTTGTCCTTTTTGTATTAGCATTTTTAAACCTGGCAAGTTTTAAATATTTCTTTTTGCAAAAAAAATGTTTACCATGCTCACCTTTTTTGACTAAATTGCATCACTAACTGCCCTGAGTCCTTTCGGGGAGAGAGGACAGGTTATAAATAAAGATTTATATGATTATTATTATTCAAATTGAAGTGCACATTACATTTGTTGCCGTGTTAGCATTGCACACATAAACCCACCTGCATTAAAGGGACCTAGAGCCCCGGAGGCTGGATGGGAGGCAGGAGGCTGTTCCTGGTGGTGGCAGTGGCCTCAGGGCTTCGTGGCCTCTGGAGAAGGAGGAGAGCCCAGGTAGCGACTCTGTTGTTCCTACTTCTTCACCACAGAGGGGTTGCAGAGCTTTCAGATCTCTCTTGCCAAAGGAGCAGTAAACCTGCCACCCTGATGCACCATTGCACTGATTACATTCAACTGAAAATCCTGTTGTTGTTGTTGTTGTTGTTGTTGTTAGGTGCACCTTCAAAATGGAGGTGCACATTACATTTGATGGCATATTGTCCTTGAGTAAATACAGGCAAACAAGTTATTATTTATAATAATTGCACGAGATAACAAGAACTAACCATTAACAAACCATTAAAGATGGGAAAAGGAGGACAGTGCCTTATCGCAAGCAGTTCTTCCTGCCTCTACATCTCATCAGATGTGGTGGCAGTATCAGGATCTCCAGATATACCGGGTGATTGGCCTTCCACATCTCTCTGCATTTCTGTGAGTCTTGTATGTGGGCTGTTGTCTTAGTTTTTCAAGTTGATCAAACAAAACATTATCAATACACAAAATTTCTAGGTGCCATATTCCTCCTGGGTGTTGGGGGCCAAGTATACTGCTAACAACATCACAATTGACACATTGTATCAGCTAAGAAATAATAATAATAGGGTTGTTGTAGGTTTTTCCGGGCTATATGGCCATGTTCTAGAGGCATTTTCTCCTGACGTTTCGCCTGCATCTATGGCAAGCATCCTCAGAGGTACTGAATGCTTGCCATAGATGCAGGTGAAATGTCAGGAGAAAATGTCTCTAGAACATGGCCATATAGCCCGGAAAAACCTACAACAACCCAGTGATTCCGGCCATGAAAGCCTTCGACAATAATAATAATAATAATAATAATAATAATAATAATAATAATACTTTATTTATACCCCGCCACCATCTCCCCAAGGGGACTCGGAGCTTACATGAGGCCAAGCCCGACAACACATCAATAAAACAAAAAGCAATAAGCAAATAAAGCAATACAATTAATATAAATCACATATAAACAATAACACGCAAGGATTTAAAAACCTTTGGATTTAAAAAGTTTTAACTAGCTGATAAAACTTTTAGTGTAGATGGTATTTTTTTAGTTGCATTTGTACTTGTGACAGTTTCTCCACGAAAGTGCCACAGTAGTAGCACTGGTACGACGATTGTTGAGCCACAGTAGTTTGGATCACAGTTTCCTGCAAAACATCATCTTCTTCATGAATTCCTTTGTAGATTACGATGATGCTCCCACACCAATGAAGGCCAAGGTGAGCACGACATCCGAGGGGACTTCCAGGGAGACTTCATCTGACAGCCAACTACATATATAGATGAAAAAAGGGAAGCTCAGAAAAACCAAGCACAAGAATACAAATATGGCTACATAGCCACCATCGAATGTAATGCACACCTCAATTTTGAAAGTACACATTTCTCCCTCTAGATAGATAGATAGATAGATAGATAGATAGATAGATAGATAGATAGATAGACAGATTTGCCCTTGAATGTAATGCGCCCAACAGTGTAAGCATAGAATAATAGAATAATAAAGTTGGAAGAGACCACATGGGTCATCTAGTCCAACACTGTGCGATGTAGGAAAAGTATCCCTGACAGATGGCCATCCAGCCTCTGTTTAAAATTTTTTAAGGAGGAAGTTTCCACACACTCAGAGGCAGAGGGTTCCACTGTTCAACAGCTCATACAGTCAGGAAGTTCTTCCTAATGTTCAGGTGGAAAGTCCTCTCGAGTAATCTGAACCCATTGCTCCTAGTCCTAGTTTTAAGGGCAGCAGAAAACAAGGTTGCTCCCTCTTTCACATATTTATACATGGCTATCATGTCTCCTATCAACCTTCTCTTCTACAGGCTAAACAGACCCAGTTCTTTAAGACGCTCCTCATAAAGCCTCGTCTCCAGACCTTTGATCATTTTAGTCACTTTCCAGCTTGTCAATATCTCTTTTGAACAGTGGTGCTCAAAATTGGACATAGTATTACAGGTGAGGTCTAACCAAAGCAGAATAGAGAGGCATCATGACTTCCCTTGATCTAGACACTATATTCCTTTTGATGCAGCCCAAAATCCCATTGTCTTTTTTTAGCTGTTGTATCACACTGTTGGCTCACGTTCGACTTGTTGTCCACAAAGACTCCAAGAACTTTTTCACATGGACTGTTGTCGAGCCAGGCACCATCTTGTGTCTTTCCATTTCATTTTTTTCTGCCTAAATGTAGTATCTTAAATTTGTCCTTTTTGACATTTGTTTTGTTAGTTTTGGCCCAGCTCTCTAATCTGTTGAGGTCATTTTGAATTCTGATCCTGTCCTCTGGAGTATTTGCTATCCCTTCTAAGTTGGTGTCATCTGCAAACTTGATAGCCACACCCTCTGAAACACTGTACGTCAGGGAGGCAGGCAGCACGAATGAGGCCATTTGGCAAGCCATACCTCTCCATCAGGCCAAGACTGGAGAAACTCTCCAGCCTCGCACAATTCCCAACGAGCCGAATTCACAAGGCCTTCAAAACTAAGGGGAAGTGCCTCCCTGTCCGGGCTCCAGGGCTCCAGGTTCCTTTGGGCCTTTTCGTGTAGGTGGGATTATGTGCACTGTTCTAACACGCCATCATATCTAATGTGCACCTCCATTTTGGCAATGTAATTTAGCCAAAAATGGTGAGCATTAGACTCGAGTAAATATGGTACTAGAAGTAATGTTTTCAAAACCAGAGATTTCTATATATAATATAGTAGGATTTAAATAATTTCAGGCATTTATTGAAGTTATATATAACCATGAAAATGTATGCATACACAATTAGGATTTTTACAGAAATTCTTAGTTGAAATTGACCTAGTTTTGATGCCGCCTTCTACTTTACATTAACTAAGGGTGTCCCAGTCTTTCTACAGAGAACTGTGAGTGAAAATTGGTTTTTACACATGGATCTGCCTTCCCATCACAAATAAAGGGATTATTTCTAATTTTTATCTTTAAAAAATACAGTATATTGAATGTATGGCAGAGATGTGGACTTATAGGGGGAAGGGAAATATTTCTTCTATTTTTATAGATCAGGGATTTGAAGTATTTGTAGGGAAGTGAATATAGACATCCGAACAAATGAATTCTAGCGCATTTGCTAACATAATTGACAAATGTTTACTCCTAAATTTTTAAAAATCCAATCCAGATTGCATGTGTGTAGGAATCTTATGTAGAGCAGGGGTGCTTCACTTATTATGTCCAGGACCTATATGTCAGTTTTGCTTCGTATATTCATGATAGAAGATCATGTAGTACTTACAGATAACCTGAACAAGTGGTGAGTTTAAAAGATTAAAACTCCATTCTAGGGAGTTTTGAGAGCTGTAACCCAGAAAAGTGCCATTTTCAAGCTTTTCCTGTGTGAAAAGGATACCCGTGTAGAAATGTGTATGGTGTGAAAAATTCAAATTACTTCTGCTACACAGGTTTTGAGAGCAGATTTATAAGAAGTGATACCTTTGGATGTTTCTCTGTTAAGACTCCAGTTAGAAAATGTCTACATAAAGTAGTTTTGCTCAAATTAGCCTCATTTTAATAAGACCTGCAAATTAAAATAACTAGAATGGTACTCCTCCCTATGTGCCATTAAGGCTTTTGAAAAATAGCCATATGACAGATGAATGGTGCATCCATAAAAACATGGTTGGATTTGCTGAGGAAATTCAAAATAAAATCTGAATATATTATCTTGTGCTCTTGAAGGGATCAGTAATACTCCCATAATTGTTCTGCTTTCCTATTAAACGTAATAGTGAAATCTCTGCTAAGAACCAGTGAGAATTACTGGGAGGAACAGTCTTAACACAATATGGAGGGCTGCATGATTCTGGCCCTTGCCTTAAATTCATTAAGATCATTATTTCGCTGCTAAATCTGTTTTATTGAAAAGAATATGTACTCAGGGCAATTGGGTTTTTTTTTTCCTGAAAAGTGCCTAAGGAAATGAAAGCCTTCCTACAAATTGTTCTTGGCAGATATTAATTTACAGAAGGATTATAAATAAGGTTTCTATTAATCATATGCATGCAAGCCAGATTTCAGAACCTAATGTCTACTCTTTTCCCATCACATGAGAAAAATACATCACAGAATATATATGATACATGAATTTTAAAACGCTTGGGTAAAACATTAAAGGCTGGTCCACACACATTATGTACATCTGTGTATTTACTGCATTTTTAATGAATGGACAGACAGGGAATAGTGATCACATATATCACCTGCACAGTGATTCCTGTGCTCTTAGTACCTTTTTTTCTGGTCATAAGTATTAAGGAAATTGCTGCAGGCCATAAACAGTTATAGTAACCTCATACTAACATTTCTTCTTGTGATCCTGTACCAGGATGATGACAAATGTTCACAAGAATCAGGGGAAATCATACTGATTGTTTTCTTTTAAAGGAAAAAAAACTGTCGGGAATCTACTGAACAAGAAAATATACTGTTACTATTAAAGTGTATGGATTTAAAATTTAGTACCACTAGGTCTCAAATCTTATGGCCAGTACATATATGGATGTATTTGTCCTTTTAAAAAAATGTTTTACATGCATAACGCTGTTCTAGTTTTCTGTTTTGTAATGCTCTGTTGTTATAATATAGAATTTCGTATGTGAAGACTTTAAAATAAAATACCTTAATGAAGAAATTGCATGGTGTCATTATTGAGAGGCTTTAGAAGGTTCTCATTATCAGGTTTAGCAGTGACTGAAACCCCATCTACACTGCCATATAAAATCCAGATTATATGCTTTGAACTGGATTATATGCTTTGAACAGGGCCGCAGTGGTGCAATGGGTTAAACCCTTATGTTGC